TCTCTGAAAATGTAAAGGTGGTACCATTACTTATCGCTTACACTAGGTTGTGGGTGGAATTTGTTCTGGGAGTTATTGATTCTAGAGCCCAAACTTTCACCTCTGCCTCACCTTCACCTATCACCTTTCCTCTCCCGCTGTTCTTTCTGTCGATATTCTCGTAGGATTAAAAGGTGAAATCAGTCAATATCACTAATCGGTTTATTTATTATTGAGCATTCTTATGTCACCTCACGTAAACTTTTTTGTCAAGTTTTCTTCTTGGTTCTGTCATTCTTGTGGGTCTTAAGTAGGTCTTTGCCCAAGCGTTTTTTCAGATTGTCAGTCTTCATTTCTCATTACGGTGGTCTTTCAAGAAGCCCTAGTAGTGAGGAAAGAAATTGAAGTGGTTGTTTGAGTGGTTTTTCTAAACACTAGTAGACATCCGGAGAAATTTAATTTAGGGTTCGCGAGTCTCAGATCTAAGTTTAATTTCTTGGAAGATTCACTGCTGTTTAAATCTGCCTTTCAGTAACAGTCTTATTTCTACATTTACAGGGTGGTAAAATTTGTATTATAATAAAGGTCTTACCTTGTTCCCATTAATTTCCGCTTACGAGATGATCATACTCATTCCGAGAGCCACTTAGGAACTGAAAATTGGCTTTGGGAGTTAGTGAATTGTTTACCTTCCGAGAATCTACTTTCACTTCATTGTTGTATGTGGCACGTAATGCTTCAACATTCCTATTTTGTAGACGTTACATAAATACTATTTTTTACAACTGCTTTGTTCGTGAGAAACAAGAGAACCACGCAGTTCTAACGAAATTCTTCATTATTACCGTTTTGGGCAAGAGCTCACCTGGGAATGTATTGCTTGTTGCCATTAAAGTAACAGCTGACACGGTGTTGTTTGTTAGAGTTACTTCTGAACCGCGTTGCTTCCGAGCGGTTTAGTAGCCGACTTTTGACCTTCTCGCTTCGTTCAAGAAACGTTGGCATAAATATTACGATTGCGTACGTACAGAAGGTACAAGCCAAGTTGATAGCGGAGACAAGTAGCCAATCACTTTGATTCATCTGCGTTCCATTTCAAGCACGTAGTCTCCTGATTCGAATTTAACATCCTCACCCGGTAACTTAGAATGCATCACGGTCGGTTCACTAACCAGATTAAGGCACTTTGTAAATCAATGAAACATGAATGATGTGAGCAAATGCTATTAATAATCGTTGATGTTAGCTAGTAGTTGAATAACACGATTTATTGATAAGCTTTCAGCATTGTTTGAAAAGCTCTATAATGGTCGATATTTTGGCGAGATCGCATTTCTTTGAGTCAACGAAGTTTTTTTCCGTGCTATGTTGCACTCAATTCCGCTGGACTCAGTGAATGTCCGAAAAGAAACAGATCATGCAAACAGTCGTGCTGTAGGTGTTTGATTCGAATCAATGCGCCTTTGTTGTTGGTGTTGTCGCGAGAATGTCATTCAATTCCGGAGTTTTGTCATCCTTATGGAAGCATCTAAAAAAGTGCTCGTCCACCGCAGTGATTATAGGTGCCCCACAATACACATGGGATAAATTTCGCGTCTCTGGCTCACAAATCCCCTTAATCATTTCAGGGTCGATAAATTGGTACTAAATTTGTATCGCAAGGCTAGCAGCACTGAGTCGACACATCAGCAAGCCACCACGAGTCATTGCATTGGTCAGATTTTAGTCACCTCCAGTGATGCCTAATGGAGTCGAATGCGTGGCGCATCCCTCAGGAATTCAACAACGCTGGGAGCTTTAGCCTTTGTTTCTTTATCCATATAAGCCTCTAAAAATGCCAAAATATTGCTTATTTATTGCGAGATTTAAGAAGAATTAACTTATTTATGATATTGATTATGGAGATTCGTTTTAAGAGTGATGACGTTTTGTACTATTACTTCGTGCGAATACAGCTAGTCGACGTGCTTTTGGTGGTTGTCGTCGTATGAGACACGTGTACGTTGATCAATTTACTGTTCCTTTCGTCCATATGTTATGGAAATGTTTTGTTATGACGGCACACTTAAACTTTGCGTTGTGCCTGTATTTTTTATTCTGGAGGCCTACGTATTTCGCAAGGATCTGAGCCGCCAGGTCTGGCTTGATGTTTTTCGTACCGGTCGTATTTCAGATTGGCTTTTTTCAATGACCCGTACGCGCTCTGTGTTGCCCTACTTCCTATGTACACCTGATATTATTTTCTATATTCATTCAGTGCTGTTGCCTTTCATGAAAAGAGTTTTTATTAACGATGGGAGAATGAGGACACGAGGAGCACGTTAGTTAAAGAGCTCGTGTATTAGTGCACGCATGGTCTCCGTTTCAGCCCTACTTCGACCCAGTTAGCGTTTTCATCCCTACAGATGTGATTCGGAGGGTACTGATTTGTGGTATTGATATTTGCTAGTTCTAGAACTGTGGCTTCCGTCATCGCAGTGCAAATTTCAGATGCCGAAGTGGTTTTTCTCCACCGGGGATTTTACGGTCTAGTACTCTGATTGTTTGACGACAGTGATTGGACTCGCATTTTTTCGTTGTCGATTCTACATGATGGTGAGAGGTGGTAGGGATTTCATTATTAGTGATGATATTGAAAGGTTATATTCATGTAGTTCACTACAGCAAGGCGTTAGAATAGTTTTTAGCTCATTTCAGTAGTTCTTTTTTCTGCGGGCACCGTGGGAGGTACTCTTGCAATTACCTTCGCTTTTGTTTTATTTTTTGTACAACTCGTTTTTCATATCTACTTTGCGGAGCCCAGCACTTTCCACATTAGATTCGTTTCCTCGCATCCATCATCCACGAAAGGTTTCCATGTTTTTACCTGTGGTCTTGGTTTCTGCTTGAGGACTTTTCTTTTTTCATGAATGTTGTTGAATGCTAGTCGAGTCAGTTCTCACTGGAGTCTTGAGATATGCGGGCTAGTGCGTTTCTAGTTGTATTGCAGAGAAGTGATCTTTTCTCGGATACGTCCGATACCAGGTTCCCGACTCCGGAGGGAAAGGAGGCGTGGTGGATCAGAAGCAGGATCGAACCAACATCGTGCTCGTAATGACCGACATCACTACAACTGTGCTATCCGTTTCCTAGGCATGGTTTGGTCGGATATGTTTTTAGTTTTTTTTTTTCGAGCATCTTGCTATAGATCCAGCCTGAACTTTTTTAGTGAACAGCTGCCGTAAGGTCATCCTTTATAGATTAGTCGTGTAGTGAAAGGGTTGACTCTGGAATTTATTCTTATACACGACTTATATTCTCGTTATTGGGCAATGACAGAAATTCTCCAAATTTCGACTGAAGTGAATCTTCAAACAACAAAGGTGGTGCTCGCGTTCAGCACAGAATGGAGGTGTCGTGTCGAAAGCAAGACGTGGTGGATCTGTGTAAATCTTCCCATTACGCAGTTACGACGATCGGCGGCCATTTTCTTTGTCCGTGAGCAATGAATTTTACTGAAGTATCGTGTTGTTGACATGACCCAGCGAGATCGTTTCTGTTTTCATTTTATTATTGTGTTTTACGTTAACCCATTCTATACAAGCTCATCCTTTCCTATTGTGAGATTAAAATCTTCAACAACATTTTATTAAAGTAGTTGTCGTTGCCGATCATTTCTTTCTGGCTGCTCTTAGATCTCCACAAATTCGTCCCGTTGTTCTAGTTAGGCTGTGAATAGCAGTGAGAGGGCTAGATGAATCTTGGATTCTCGTATGAATCGTCTCCGTGGGGGACGGATGAGTAAGTTCCGTTATCGTAGTAGTTACTTCTTTCATATTTTTTGAGGTCTTACTTTTTTCCTACACGTTAGTTTCTGGGAAATTCGTATTTTATCTTTATGTTTCATTGCTGAAGTTAAGAAAGAAATAATAAAACATAACTAGTGAGTGAACGCGTGCATCCCGTGTCCATGCAAAGACCCTAATCGAGCGTTTGCATTAATCGAAATTCTACCTAAATTCAAATGTGTTTCATTCACTATTCCATGTCATTTTGTATTTATGTTAATTTTTTTTTCAGACTAGATTCAGCGTTTCAGTTGTAAAACTTGGTGATTGGGTACGGTCTTCCACCTTGTTCGGTTCCAGTACTTTCCCGAATTACGTGATATTTAGGGCTGTAGTCTTGAGGTGCCATTGAATTACTCCATTTTTGATGTGCATTGATGTTCTTCGATATCAAATTCTTGCACACTCCTTAAAGCGGTCTTTTATGTTCCATTGTTTTGCTAGCTAGCATTCTCCATCCAGGGTGCTCTCATGTTGACTAACCTTCAGAACCAAGGATTTGGGTATCTGTGGCCAGGGTTTCAGATTTATCGTATTGTTGTTTCATCTACCACCATTCTAGTTCAGGTGTTTACGGCTAATCATGGCTTCCATCTAATGGATTGGTTACATCGAGATTAACAATTCGTTGTTCACGTTTCAAATTATCCATCGTATCACAGTCTTCTTTTTATTGTCCGATCTACTTTCTTTGCTCCTGGTTTTCCACCTACTTTATACATTTTGGTGGAAACTTTTGTGCTTAGATAAGGACGATGCAGTCATCTGCTTTTTCCAGAGCTTTAATTTAATTTCGTAGATCTTTCTTTACTCTTACAAGTATTTTGCTAATCACAATCTTAACCTTTTTTATTTACTGCCGACTCTTTTTAATGGCAGGGTATGTTGCAAAATATAACTTCATATTATATTTTATAGTATATTAGTTATATTTTGTATACTATATATATTATTATATATATTACATGTTGTATTTTGGAAACGTTTGCATGTTTCTATCCATAGAAATCATCCAGATGCTATAATGGCTTATTTGACTGTAAAGGAAACCTCTACTATTGGTGTTGAACTTGTCTTTTAAAATATATTTTTACATCGTTCATGTCTAGTGTATGTAAAATTCATTTCCTTTCTCGACGAATTGTTAAGTAGAAGTGCTGGTTTCATATTTACTCTTATTACGTTTAGGTGTTCATGTCCGTTGTGGAGTGGCGTCGAAATTCTAGCCCTCATCTGGGAGCGCTGCCCATGCCGTCGTCCTCTGTATGGCGTAAATCCTCGCAACCACCGTTGAGTGTCAGCAGTTTGTCGACGGATGCGACAAGATCTAACTCCGTTGAGGAACCGGCAATGATGACATCGAGCTCGCCTTATGATACCGATGAAGTAATCTTTTTTTCCTTATTTCGGCCAATTTCTATGAATAAATACATTTTTGCAAAACTCTGGACCGCAGGTGTCTATGGTGGGGAACGAACGCGCTATTGTCCTTTCCGGGGAGTAACGCGTTCACCACCACACCATGCGTTTAGCCTGTCTCTCAAAAAGATCGATAGAAATAGCTGAGAGACAGGCGAAACGAGGGATCCGCATGGTGTGGTGGTGAACGCGTTACTCCCCGGAAAGGACAATAGCGCGTTCGTTCCCCATCATAGACACCTGCGGTCCAGAGTTTTGCAAATATCTCAGCAACGTTGTGGTTGTATTTCGCTTAGTAACCTGCCATGAAAATTATAGAAGGCAGAAAACAAAACGTTAAGCATTGTAAATACATTTTGTTGTCACTTCTTGATAATTGTGATTCATGAAGATTTTCTTGAAGCCCGTGAAATCTGTACGGTTGTTCGGCTTTAATTAACACCTAGCACGTCGAGCTGGTTTCTGATATCTGACGGTAATTTCTCAATCACTAGATCATTTCAGGGCTTTTACGACTCTATATATTTATAGAGAAGGCTTTATCGTATCCGCTACTCAGTAATGTTGTTTTTGTACATTGTCTTTTCAACTCTAAATGCCTCTATAATAGGATTCTCAGAAATTGGTAACCATACATTAGTTTTTAAAATTTCCAGATCAAGAGCACCAAATCCAAACACAAACTGTGAATACCATCATTACCGTTAGAGAACACCGTCATGCCCTGCTATAGGACTTCCGACTGTCCATTTGATTTCATGTTCAAACTATTCATTGCGAAATAATAAATTGAGAGAAAGGTATATCATAAGCGAAACCACGTTATCGTTTTAGTAGAATAAGATTACTTGGACTTTGTAGACAAAGATCTGTAGATTCTGGTGGTTTCTATTTCAACTAGTGAGATCTAGTATGAATGGATGTACTGGTTTAAAGTTGACACTGGCCATTACTTTCCCGTAAACTGTATTGTATAAAATCCAGATTGGGGCTTAGATGTTAACGAAGTGGAGCAGTGTAGACTTGACTAAGTGATCTGTGGTAGAAATCTATTCTGTGCCTATTTTTTTATTGCATAAAGATAGTCATAATTGGGGTGCTTCGTTAGTTGCTTCTGGGCTTTTTCCAGGCTGATCTAGGACCATCACAGCCATCATCCACGAGAAACGGCGAAAGACCAGTGTCACCGGATGTCTACCAAAGACTGATTTTACATTCGGAAGATATGAAAAGTCTTGTGCGGACAATTACTAATGAGGCAAAAAATCTCATACATGCAGAGACGTCAGTTTTTGTTATCGTTTTCTTTTTCTCATTCGTAGAGGTACTGTCGTTTTCATTAAGTGTCAGACTTGCGTACATATCTCTCTTTTTTCTTACATTGTTTTGTGTCTCTAATGGCTTTCGAATTGCTATGTCCTAAGTGGCTGTTCGGCGCGGAATGGCATTCTTTCGTGTGTACTAGCGCTGAAAAAAGTACAACTAACATGCGTGCCTTATCGTAGGTGTTGTTATCAGCGAGAATCTATTTATATTTGGACATTGCTCGCTTTAGTCTTCAGTGAACATGTTATGGATTTCAGCATCCTCATAGTATTTAGACATTCTTTTGTTACGATTTTTCTTCTTGCAGTCATCGAGTAATCGTCAATGGTTTCGTTTCGATTAGTTTTAATATATTCCTTCACTATAGGTGTTCGTTATTCTTGCTGGATAATGAAAACAAAGAACTAGTTGCGAATGTTTTCGACAAAGCTGGTGATTTGTCAGAAATCAGACTTCCTATGTCGAAAGGAGTAGTAGGGCGAGTGGCGAGAACCAGAACAATGATGAACGTTCGTGACGTGCAGAGGTATTTTTCTTGGTATCTCCGAATATTTGTCATTGAAGAAATGCTTTTACTGGTGTTACAATGTCACTTGTTGTCTTACGTTAGTATAAATACTATCAGTGAAAAAACTTCCATATCCATTCCAAAAACGCATTAATTAGATGCATCTATTTTTGTTGACTATAATTTTTCTTTTGGGCAAAACTATGATTAACCAAAGCTAGGTTTTGTGGAAGCTTTTAGATTTCTGAAATTCAGATGTCCGTTCTTCTACGCCGGTGTAGACGAATTAACTGGCTTTCAAACAAGAAACATTCTCTGCTTCCCCATTATTGACAACTCAGGTAAGCTTTCATCTACTTATCATCGATAAATCTTTTCTATTGTCATGTCTGTTGTTTCTCATATTTCGGCACTACTTTTGATGTAGTGTTGGAAGGAATGATTATCAGAGTAGTTGGTGATCAGCTAAAGAAAAGTTTGCTGAATTCCTTTAGATATGAAAGTTATCTTCTTTATTTTATCTGTTTTCTTTCATATTTCTTCATTTCTGAATTTGTTTTTCTCTTCGTTGTACCTACTAATTTCGTTCGCAGGGAGAATATTCGAGTGTATTTTGAAGTTCGCCGGCAATTTCGATGTAGGTATTTGACTACTTCGAGCGACAGTATTCGTCATTCGTTCGTAATGATTTAATGTTTTTTTCTGAATTACTCTATGATTTGGGGCTGTGTCGAGAGGAGGACACTGAGGGATACGGCCAGACACGTATCGATTGCGTTTCCGGTGAAAGAGTGGAGGCTCTCTAATCGCACGTTTTACCGACGGCAACACCACGTCATCATTGTAGCTTTACGGCTAGGCTTAATTGTTTCCTTCTTCATCATCGTCATCATCATCATCATTGCTTATTCTCTATCCATATTTTATGCGTGCACACACTGTCTAAGCAGTTCTATGCTCCGGCTTATTCTCTATCCATATTTTACGCGTGCATACACTGTCTAAGCAGTTCTATGCTCCGACTTTTTCCAGTCGTTTTTCCGCTCACCTGTTTTGTAAATTGTTTTCTATTTGCAAGCCGTTGTGTTCTTTTCTTTATGTCGATATCTTAAAATACGTCTGAGTAGTTCTTTCATTGATAAGCGAACATGAATTTAACGAAAAAGTTTATTCGGCTATTTTTTCGACGTCTTCGTCTTCATGAGAGCCGATGTTCGACGACAGAATGCCATCCGACTCGGATCATCGGAACTGAAGAAGGCGAAGGCGACTAAATGCTAACCGTTTAAGTTCTCTTACCAACTTTTTGCTAACTAATCAATGAAAGAACAGATGTTGACTAGTCATGTCGAGGTTAAAGGAGATTTGCTTTTTGAAGTGACGTGTCTCAGTGCTGAATTCATGACAAGGAACGCTACACTTTCATTATGAAGTGAGCCGCCGTTAAAAAGTATGTTCTAGCTTGTTAACAATGCAGGTTTCCAAATCTGGACATTTTATTGTTTTCCGTTTTCAAATTTGTTCTGTTGCGACAATTTTTTCTTCACCTTAGCTCATTAACAATTCGGTGAGTTGATGCCACTGTGTGTTGATGTCACGCTTTCTGTCGCTTGAGCCGGCTTTGCTCTGCGCCATGGATAGTTTAACAGTCGGGATGAAATTTAGTTTTTTTTTGCCGTAGTGTTGAGTGTGGGGTGAGTTCGGTTTCGGGTAATTAGTTTCCTTTCTGTGGAATACATCTGAAGAGTCACTGGTTTTCTGATGTGGGTGATCTATGTTTTACCAATTTGATGTTGAGCATTGATCGGCTGAGGGTTTTAGGAAATTAAAATTCCGCATTTTGGGGATTTTTTAATCGTCGCATAATTATTGTCCAAAACAAATGGTCAAATGCATGTTACGTTCTATCATTGTGCTGCATCAGAATTCTTCACAAAGGGAAAGGAATTATTTGATTTGGAAAGTTTGCTCACTATATGCTCACTATATTTGATCTAAGGGCACGTATAGCGCAGTGGTTAGAGACGTTGTGCAGTACATATGGGATGGATCCCGCGCCTCATGCTTACCAAGCTTTCCTTTCCTCCAGAGTCAACAAATTGTTACCAGACCTGACTGGGACGATACTAACACTGACTCGACAATCAGTAGGCCACCGCGAGTCATTGTATAGGCCAGATATGCGTTCAATCACCTCTAACGGCGCTTGATGAAGTGCATGGCACATCCCTCAGGGAGTGATAAACGCGGAGAGCTTTATCCTTTCATTTGTCCTTTATGTGTTTTCTAAATTGGCTGCTATATTAACATGAATTTCTTAACTCATCAATTGCCTTCACATTTTATTACCATATTATTCTACGTAATAGTAAAAGATTGGTTTTATGGTTCTTTAATCTTGTAACTTATAATCCGGTTTCTTCACATATGCTTTACTGTTTACCTTTTTTGAAAATTACTGTCACTGTGATAGATAATTTATATTATTGCCGAACATTAAGGGCAATGCTACAGAGCAAATTGTATAATGTGCTGAAGTTTCGGGTTGTCTCGTTTTTATCCCATTTCAGATGGTAGATACTAGTCCCCACTGGTTGCGCGGGCCCCAGCAAAATCTCTATTTTCGGGGATTTGCTTGTCCGTTATAGTTTCCTGGAATCCCGAGGTCGGCCTGGCCAAAGTCTGCCCCAGGTCTACATCACCACGGGCAGCCGCAACCCTTTTGGATCAGAGGGAGATTTGCCACCATGCGACTTTGATACCAGGACGGTGGTGGATCTTGGTATTGGTTTACTCTTAGTTAGGCTTCCTGATGGAAACGCCGGCCTCTTTCTCAGCTTAGGAGACCCTGCCACAACACGTCAGCCCCTGGAAAGGGTAATCGCGGCTTCGAATCTGGTCTGAGCTTAAGCTTAATAGAAAGCCGATCTTGAGGACTATCTTATCTTCGTTGTGGTTCAAATGCAAGCAGTTTAACCGGTTAGTAGGAATAAGAAGAGCGATCACGTAACAAGAATGGTTGGTTTACAATTAAGTAACTGTTATTGGTGCGCTTCGTTAGATTCAAAGCATTTTGTTTGATATGCTAACAAAGAAATGGTAAAGTGTTGTACAGAATGTAGAACATTGGTCAATATAGAACAGAGAAAGTCTTTGGGGTAATATTTCTTGTACTGTTTTTGAAGGTTGTTGTCTCGTTTGTGATTGGTCAGTTGCTTAATCATAACAGTTCTTTTCGACATGGAAGAATCGTAATCGCAAGGCCATAAAGCTCGCTGTGATTCACAGGAGTAGGCAACCGTCTGCTGAAAACTTGCTAACGACCAAACGAGGCTCTGCATTGATTCCGTTGAATACTAGGTTCAGGCCGTCGTCGAACCCACGAGTGAATTCGACTATTTTTTTCATGGTTGGTGGTTTATAGACTAAACTGATGGAAGTGAGAACGAAAACGCTGCAGTCTGCGCGATATATGAGGACATGCTATTTAAGTACCCAGTTTTTGTATTATTTGTGCACTCTGGTCCCAGCTTAAACTTATTGTTGGATCGTATTGATAATGTCGTATGCTCATCATTTAAAAAAATGAAGGATATAGCGCTTGGCGTTAATCAATCCCTTAGGAATGCGCCGTGCATTCGACTTCATGGGGAATCGTTGGAAGTGATTTATTGCATATCTAGTCTATATATTAACTCGCGGTGGTCTACCGATCTATCGAGCCAGTGTTGCTGTACTCCCAGACATATCTAGTACCAAATTACCGACCCCGGAAGGACGGAAGGTTTTGGAGATGGGGTGCAGGATCGAACCCAAGTGAATTGTAGGACGCCTCTAACCACTGCGCTTGACGTGTCCCTACTTGTCGCTAAGTAATTGATTTATTTTTCGTTAAGTAACTGCTTAAAAATTATTTTGTTGTGTTTTGCTTTCGATTTATTTTTCTCTTATGTTTCACCAGTGCAATACCCTTTTTCGATTTGTATTCCATCAGAAAGTTATGACCTTCATGGAGTCTATCCTTTCCTGTTTTATAGCATGAGGCATCCGGCCTTGGAATTTCATTTGTAAAGAGAGAGGGCGAATTGTAGCCGCAACAACTTTCAGAAGAATGTACGTGCTTAACAATTGAAAGGAGTTTTATATAAAACAGTCTCATCACTAGAGAACCCATTTTTCTAGGCTTCCTATCTCCTAGACTTTAAAGAGCGCCCCTGTCGTCTGCTTTCTAGATGGACCGTGTTCTTGACATTCAAAAATTCTTAAGTGATGTAGAGTGTCGCTGTTCTTTTATTCTCTTCTAAAATGCGTTTGAATATAGCAGAGTTTTGTTCGTTCCATAGCTTTTATTAACCTTCTAGGTCTTCTTTTTAAATGCAGTACTTATTGAATTCGACAACTCTTTCTTCTTTTACACGTGGCGAGTTTATTTAATGTAAAAAATTAATTTCCTGTGGAAAGTGTACAATATTTCGGCTGTGAAAATTGCGAAGCCGTGGAGGTCTGATTGTTTTTGTTTTTCCTTCCTTTTTTTATGCTTTCCTTTTTAGACTCCATTGTAAATGTTCGAGATTTGAGTCTTAGTAGTATATACTACAAAAGTTCTACTTGTTTATTAAGGGACCTTTGTCGGAGTGGCAGAGCTTTGTAACAAGACGGGAAGAACGGGTTTCACTCGACACGACGAACAGAAGGCTCGCACGTTCGCGGTATATTGCGCGACCAGCATATCACATGTATGTGTTTTAGTTAGTTTTCCTTTCCTCTTATTGAAACCCTTTAAGGCATACTTCTATCGCTCCTTATTTTATTTCCTCTGTTTAAGAAATTGTTACTATAGTACACGTCAATGATCTTTGTGATTATGTCTGAAGAGAACACGGTCAATGCGTTTTAATAGGAACATGTTTAGAATCACATGTTTAGTGTCTACTCTATCGCAAAGTGCAAGAGGCTCAACGCCGCTCGCATATGGCCGCTGAGCTCCTCGTGCAAGGATCACAGTTGCTTGTTCGTTGATGTGTTTCTTCACACATGTGATTTTCTTCCTATATCACAAATACTTTGTGCTATATTTTTAGATTTCTCAAGAAGATGTCAATAAGCTTACGAACGACCCTGTAAAGAGTTGGAGGTGCGTTTATAATACGATTCAAGTTTAATAATGACCATAGTATTTGGATTTGTGTTCGTTTAATATCCGGTTTAAGGTTTTGGAGTCGTCGTTTCAACCTATTCTGCTTTCCACCTCGTTCTATTGGAGACGGAGAGGCATACGTCTCAGCGTCTATGACCATGTTTAATGTAGGCATTTAGTAATGTGTATATACATATATTTATTTATGAGATCTTATAAACTGATCTTCTTAAGCTGACGCGAGGTTGGTACAGATCTTCGTTGTCGTTGTCGTTGTTTTTGATGTTATTGATCGATGGCTGACGTTTCGGCGACTTCGCCTTCCTCAGAGCCTGGACGTACTTTATGTTAGAATACTTTTTATTATTCGGTGGAAAAGAAGGTTAAAGTATTAATGAAGATCAAACTTTCAAATAGACGCCATATTGAACAGAAAGGCCACTCNCTAGCGCAGGAATCAAAAACATCAACGCGCAAAACTCTTGAGGCGTTTTGGATAAATTTCAAAAATCCAAAGATGAACCGGAAGGACGAATGCCTCACTATCACACGTGACCTGGCGCCCTATTTCAAAATGATATTTTGACCCCGGGGCGTGTCTTGCTCGCGACTCCACGTGAACTACGTGTGGGCCAGTCCCGCACGTAACATCACGGTGAGTGGCCTTTCTGTTCAATATGGCGTCTATTTGAAAGTTTGATCTTCATTAATACTTTAACCTTCTTTTCCACCGAATAATAAAAAGTATTCTAACATAAAGTACGTCCAGGCTCTGAGGAAGGCGAAGTCGCCGAAACGTCAGCCATCGATCAATAACATCAAAAACAACGACAACGACAACGAAGATCTGTACCAACCTCGCGTCAGCTTAAGAAGATCAGTTTATAAGATCTCATAAATAAATATATCAACTATTTATGCCGAGGTTCATAGAAAGTCGGTCTTTCGAGTTGTATATACATAGTTTTTTTGTCAGAACATTAGTTGTTTTAGATGTTTCTTGTTTTTTTTTCAATCCGTGAGCGAGTTTATAAACCTTCAGGATCTTGGCTTTACAGCAAGGTATAGCATGAATAAGCGGAAGTTGGCTTCGTTCTTGTTGCGTGTGGCCAAAGGATATCGCGATGTATGCCATTAAGTTTCCTTTGTATAGTGCCCACTGGTGTTTTATAGGGGTCAACTTTAATGCTAGTTTGAAGTGTTTTTCTTTTTATTTATTATTATTATTATTTTATTTATTGAAATCTTTAATTTTCAGGTGCCTTATCATAACTGGTCCCATGCATTCTCTGTAACTCATTTCTGCTGGCTCACCTTACGAACTCCTGCTGTGTTACATGGACTTGATGAATTGGAACGATTAGCTCTGCTTATTGCATGCCTCTGTCATGATATCGACCACAGAGGGACTACCAATGCTTTTCAGTTGCAGTCGGCACGTTTTATTTGGAGTCTTTATCATGTTTTCGTCGCAAACTTTCTACTCATGAACAAGAGTGGCATAGAGATGTTAATGCTTATATGACTTTACCTTACGAAATGAAGTCACCCAAAATCAGAAAAAATTCAGTAGTTCATTTCGGCGCAAGTAATGCCACACATTGCAACCTTTATGGAGAGAAAAACCAGTGTGAAATAACTATGGCACACAATAGCTACCAACAATTTAAGGTGTAGAGCTGAAAACGCCTTACCATGGATTTTATAAGGTTTTATAAAAAGACTTAACCAACTCATAGCATGGAATGAGATGCAATATGCTGCGAACTACACACTTCTATGTGAAAACGGCTGTTACAACACCAAATAGTAAGTCTTATGGTGGTTACGATGAATCTTATATTTGTTTTATAGAGAACCCCACTAGCACAACTTTACAGCAGTGAAGGCAGTGTACTAGAGAGACATCATTACGCACAAACGGTTCAGATTTTACTGGTTCGTCATGTCTAGCCTAGAAGTCGTTTTAGTTTAGCGTCGATGTCATGTTTCTGAAACACTGCTTGTTTTCGTTGTCAGATGCCAGAGTGTAATATCTTGGATCAGCTGACGCGCATTCAATATCAAACGGTACTCAGTCATATTAGGGATGTGATTCTTGCCACCGATATAACCGTCCATCTTGCCAAAGTCGGTCGTATAAAGGCGATGGTTGATCGTATGTATTCATTTTTCTTGCCCATATATGGCTCCTTTTTTTCGCTAATTTTTTCCGTTTCAGAGGGTTACGATCCATTGTCTCGAGATCACCATTACTTGTTTATGTGTCTTTTAATGACATCTAGTGATTTGTCGGATCAATCAAAAGATTTCCGCAATTCAAAAGCTATTGCTGTATGTTCTTCATCTGTGTTTTTTTTCATACATTACTCGAACTTGAGTGTCTCTCAGTTTGGGTTTTTGCTTTCTAGGAAAATATATACCGAGAGTTTTTCTCACAAGGTGATCTTGAAAAACAAATGGGGGCTAATCCGATAGAAATGATGGACCGAGATCGCGCTGCCGTCCCGAAAATTCAGTTGGACTTCATGGATACGGTTGCTATTCCTGTATTCGAGTAAGCGACTCGCAGTTTTATCTCTGGCTTCTCGTTTTGTACTTCATATATTTTCTGCAAATGTTTCGTGCTATGTTTTTAGAATGGTGTCAAAAATCATGCCAGAAGGTCGGTCCACGTTCGAAGCTATCTCATTGAATCGTCAGTGCTGGGCTGCGTTAGATGAGATTTTAGTTGAGGGTGGCAGTCGTCCTGTTCTTGGTCTCGATTACCTTAGAGATGATGATTTGGAGAAACGGGTCATCGAACGTGTACGACAACGAAGGAAGTGTGCAACATTAGAGCAAACAGAAGCTATGTGTAGCTGACTTTTTGCGTGCTTGTATGTCCTTTTGCCTTGGTATACTCTCTTCCGTGCATCTCTGATCACAAATCTGAAGGTTACCGAATTTCCACTTGTGCTTTGTGCAGTTACTTGAAATGTTAAGTGAGTCATCATTATGCTTCAAGTATTGTTACTTTGTTAGATTCTATTTTCCGACAAAGCTTGATAAGCGACTTTTGAAGCAAAAGTGCCATAGTTGTTGATGAATCGCTTATGATGATTGCCCCATTACGTTTGATATCTTTTACATGATTTCAACCTCGACATATTACATAGCTCGAATACTCTACTGTGAGACACTCTGATCTTTGTTTGTACAGTTGCGTAGTCGATGAACTTCTCTCCGTAGATGTCCATCCGTTACACACGGGTTCTCATTACGGTTTGCATAATTCATTCCATTTTCAGTAGTGCTTGTGGATTATTTTATATTTCATCGTACCATTTAGGATATGTGCTGCAGATGGTTATTTTGAATATGCTGAAAAGTAATTCTGTAAAAATTCGTGAGACGTATCTGTCGCATATTGAGATATTGGTCTTAGGTGCCTTATCGTGCACATCAAATGCAGTTTTGCATTGAATGCACAATTCATATGACATTTTGAATTGGGTGTCGTGAATCCTGTCAGTTTTTATTCGAATTGACGCATCTCAAACTGCATATGCTTTATTTCCTCTCCATTGATTATCTTTCCTACACGGCTTGTGATACGATACTTCACTGTATATTTCTATGACTGTATGCGACTTAGCAGTGAAAATTTATCCCTGTTGCGGAATCATTGTTTTGCATGGAAGTTTGAAAGGTTATTTTTATCTGGTACCAAGAAATTAACTTTAGTAACACCGCAAAAGCCAACGTTTTAATTGGGAGCTCTCGAGATTTCTGGTTAGATTTTTTAGATCAGATGACTAATAGGGGAACACCTCAACAGAATTAGCAAACGTTATTGCCACTCAGTTTCATGTATAAAACTCAGTATGAGTCATTCTACAGATCAATAAATGCAGCGAGTATAAAACTAGGAATAATCAGGTTGTGGTGGAGTGTCTGTATGTGAGTTTGATGAGAGTCTGCAATATGTTAGTAAAAGTAATTTGGTATTTGTAGTTCATATAGCGTTTGGTGGGCGTATTCCTCATCGGTAAGGCAAAATACCCATACTTAGTAGAAGTGTAAACGAAAGTATTGACCATGATTAGTATTTGGACAGGCGGTCGGCGTTTTTCGAATAAATTAACGCGTTGTAGTGCTTTCGTTTTAGGTCCCGCTTGATGTTATTTATTCGAGTTCGCAGTTAAACACATGCGGTTTTCACAGGCTTCAGTTTTTTACTTGCCTCATGCGTTTGGCAGGAAGTCGTGCGAGAGGATTCGTGTGGAGTTAATTAGATATTTACGTAGTTCGAAGGTATTTTGGCTGTTTCATTGGAGGATTCTTGACCATTGTGTGACCTGTCATTTAGATCTGCCGTCGTTATCCCAGAGTACTGGTCAAACCTGGGCAATTAAACCTACATATTGACAACAAACCAGTATGGAGTGCAACTGATAGACTTGAATGGTTAAAAGAATGATGAGGAGTGCGCTATATATGCTATTGTGTCACACATAAAACGTTAGAGATAGAAATCCGACCTTGACCCATTCGTCATGAGTGCGCTGTGGATTCCATTTCGTTAAGCATTGAGAAACTCATTCAATGTATATTTGACTTATACAATAATCTGCTCACGCCTGCCTATGAATCGAGTAGGTGTGTTTCTCTTCCCAGACATGGCCAGATCAATTTATCAAACCCGGTAGAATGAGGGGCTTCGTTGTCTGGTGGCAGATGGTCGAACCAACGACCATTTATGTATGTTTTGTAGGATGTCCTTAATCACAGTGTAAAGACTTTACCATATTGTCGTGGTATCATGCATATATATACATTATATATATATATACAAATATATCTTGTAAATATTTTACCCTGACATACAGTTATTGCAAAGCGATTCGTTTAAAGATTTAGAGCATACCGTGTGCTCTAATAGATGGCTAATCGTCACTTATTGTACAAGCTCGTGTACTTCTTCCGTTCACTTACTATCCCACAACCTTTATCCGTATTGGTTACTGAGGTCGTTGGTGAATTAGGCTGTGAATTGAGTATTCATAGCTTTCTTCTCTCGATAATGTGTTAGGTGCGATCTATGATTTTTCCAGAATCCCATAGTAACTGTGCAGTTGCGTTCCCAGATCTGTGACATAGGTTGTTATAAGGTATTTTTACTTGGGTGGAGGTTCTCAGCATTGCGACTACTAAAAATGTTTCAGAACGAAAGCTACTGTTGCAGCGAGTCGGTCGTCCTATTGCGGAGGATGTATTAGACTGAGTCATTGTCAAATAGTTCAGTCGAACATGATTAACGATGTTAACGCACTAATGGGACTTTGTTGTTTACCCTTGGCATTTGTCACGTGGATAATCAGGAGAGATTGGATGCAATTTGAGAAGCCATGACGAGTAAAGTTTGAAACCTATAAATTTGTCTTGTTGGAACAGATGTTAATACGCTAAACATTACAGTGAATTTTAAGGTATGATTCTATCGCACTCCCAATCGTTTACTACCTTGTTGTAGATGGGTAGTGTTCCTGAATATTACGCTGCGGTTTGCAACGAGGATCATCTTCTTGACGAGGTCATTTAAAATGAAGAGTTTGCACTAACTATACATCCGGAAGTCCAGCCGAGAGTAAACCAACACGAAGAATCACTATCGTGTTGGAAGACACGTATTGGTAAGGAAGTAAACCTCCCATCAACCAATATATCCACGGTCCACGAAACCTTTACAAGGGATTGGGTGAACCGCGTTCGAACTCACGCAATCCGACTCTACCGTTAGGGCATATTCTGCAATTTTGTGTTGTATATAGACGGCCGTACAGGCAGTTACGAACTAGGTGACGTGCTAGAGTGCTAGGTGGTATTTCAAGTGCTGTTACCGAATTCTGTAGACCGGCTCTTCTTAAGCAGCGTTTTCAAGCTGCGTCTTAATTATCGCTACAGTTGTTTTTTTGGAGCTCGGGTTTTCCTCCACACATATTCCAAGAAGCTACGGTTTCGTATCCATTCGAAATGGCCACTTGTAGCACCAATTTCAGGGATTCTTTCTTCTGTTCTCTTTCTGTACACACATAGGTGGTTGTTCGAAGTATGTTTCTCATAAGCGCCCTTTTCACGTGTGAGGGGTGAGAGGAGAGGTGATGAGCCGCTGTATTTTTGTTACTTGGCTTTCGGTACCATTTCATGACGAAGTTGCTTTTGAGTAGGCCAGGTAGATTGCATGTCAATTTGACCTTTCCAGGTTCAAAGCAAAAGGAAGCAATACCGCGGAAACGTCAACTGTTCTGCATTATTAAGTGCTATAAGTCGTGAATTCGCCAATTTTTCGTAACGATAAGAGGATTTTCCGAGATATTTCCAAACATGCGTGCGTAGTCTAATACGTTTTTTCTTTCATTTTGCACAACCCGTCTTTAAATCTACTGTGAGAATCTTAGCACTTCTTGCATTCGATTCGCTACCTTCCTCTATCATCCACGAAGGTCGTCGAACGTTTTTCGTGCGGGCCTGGCTGCTGCTTGAGGATAGGATTTCGTCTTCCTTACGAATACTGTTGAATGCTCGTCTAGCGGATTCTCTTTGTAATCCTGAGATAGCGCTGCTAAGGCGTTCCCACGTGGCTTGGAGGGACTGAATTGAGCTTGGACAAAGTCGGTAGAAGTTTTCCAACCACAGAGGGATAACAGGCCCTAGTGAACTCGACTTGGGGTCGAACTGTCAATATGCTAGTGATGAGCGACTTCATTGTTCCTGCGCTACTCGCTTCTGTTATTTAATGTGTACGATACCGAATCATCTGTTTTACGCTAATATTTTACCGTATCGTGTATGGGGTTAACATAACAACTCTTCACTTTCGTGAGACTCAAGCGTGTGTTTAAAGAGCTATTTGATTCGCCAATTTTAACAGATCTCATTTTCTAATCGGTTGTATTGTTTACGATTGTCGCAGTTCTGAGCAGACGTCAGTTGTTTTATAGGTCAAATTTGCATGGGCTAGACTAAAAGAATGTTTGTTTGGTTATAGCGGTGTTTGGCCGTGTAGATTGCATTCAACTTGACCTTTCCAGGCTCTGAGGAAGGCGAAATCCGCCGAAACGTCAGCTTGTTGCTAAACAATGAAATAAAATAGCACCTCGTGTTTGCTAAAGAGAAGTAGAAAAAATAAAAAGAATGCGTTTTTGTCGCTTAAATTTCCTATCATTTAGATTAATGATGTACGAAGATTTCTCGAGAAAGGTGTAACGTTAGTTGTAGAATAGGCGCCACTTTGTTACGATTGTTGCTAAGTGATTTTTACGGAATGATGTTTCAGCGAATGAAAACACCGAAAATTATTCAATCAGCAAGATAAGTGGTGAAGAAGAGCTTGATAGTAGAGAAAAGACCATCAAATTGTTCAGGAAATTTGGGACTTGTATTCTTGAAATCACTTTTAACTGTACAAGTTTCTTAAACTATCTTCAAAAGCCGTTAACAAATTTTATGAGATCACGACATATTCGATTACTAATGAAAGGGTGTGTGTGGAGCAGTGGTCGAAGGCGCTCTACAACGCACACGTAAAATCGATCCATGGCCCACCGTGCCTTCCGTCCCTCCGATGTTGGGAATTGGTACCAGATTTGTCTGGTAGGCCACCGCGAGTCATTGTAAAGTCCAGATATACATTCAGTCACCTCTAAACGATACTTAATGAAGTTTAATGCATGGCACATCCCTCAGGAATTGATCAACGCCGAGAGCTTTATCCTTTTATTTTATTATCGGTTGCTAATTTTTCGCTCGTTCGGAAACGTTCTTATTTTTGGGCTCTATTTAGTGATTGTGCTTTGCTGCGTTAATGTGGAAAATACGGTATG